CCGTATCCAGTTCTTGATGTTGTCAAAGGACTTCTCATTGGTAATGTCATACACTAACATGATGCCCTGGTGAGTTCAGAGAGGAGAAGAAATAAGAAAACAAAGTAGCCAGACCACAATCATTCCTTACTAATTCTCATTATTCCATAGAGACAGTCTTGGACATTCAGTGTCTAATAGGATTTTCCATGTGTGTCCATGTCAGTTTTTATTAGTGATGGATCACAAGATTTTGCAGCCTCAAGTAAAGGCACTTGAATACCAAAAGAAACAAGGATCAATAAGGCTTCTGAAAAAGAAAATGCAAACACAGGCAACCCGTTTAACTTGAACTAAAGGAGAGGCTAACAAAAATACCACAACAATGTTCTGAGCACACCTCCGATTTCCCAGCTGTGTACAAAATTAGTAACAACAATACCGGGTGTGGGTGTGGTTCTGGTCGAGATTTGAGTTTCAGTCTGCTATCCTGGGAAGGCCACTATTTCGCCCTTTCAGATCCCAGAGATAATCTATACTATTACATGAGGAATAAAGCAAACATTGCAACTTACCATGGCTCCTCTGTAGTAGGCTGTTGTGATGGTCCTGAACCTCTCCTGTCCTGCTGTATCCCTACATACAAAACACATATTTTTGTTAACTTTGCGTCGCAGAACCTAGCTAAAGTGAACCACGCTGCCCTGCACAAAGCATTTCTCGTGATTTAAAAGGAAAACTTAATATTTTTGGGAAATTAAATTAGTTATTTGTGTTACTGACAGTAGATCTTTTAAAAAGATCAATGTCAATTTCATCTGTGCATTAAGCAAAGCGCCTTGAAGCAATGGGAAACGGCTCATCACTGTCAAAAGTAGGGATGTAACGATAAACTCAATTCACAATATGACTGTTTCACAATTTAAAAAAAAGTGAAGAAGAAGTTGTAGATACTGACGCAAGTAAAGTAGATAGTGCCCACTGCTGTTTAAAAGTACCAGGATAATTTTTTTTACCTCTGAAATTTGAATCTTCATATATTTGAATGACAATTTAACCGACATATCTTTACATTTCTAGTCAAACGTTGTTTTTTTTTTTGTTTAAAAAAAACCAAAAAAAAAAAACATAACCAACTCCAGAGCCAGCTGGGTTTTGCTGAAAACTGCAAAACAAGCATCTTTGAGGCAAGGCCTTGTGAAAGACTTCATGCAGTCACAGAGCTGTTGGTGGTCATGACACAGCACCAAAGCAAACTACTCTTTAAACCACAATGTTTCATTTTACTTCTAAAAGTACTTTAGACACATAAAGAGTGTAAACAAGTCAGGTTTATAGTGCGGGAATACAACTTTGACAGCGAATCAAGAGTGAATATATCACAAGCTACCTCTGTATTAGAAACACAGAAATGAAGTAGATGTCGATCTTCTCCATTTCAGCTTTGGTAAGACAACAACTAAGCAACTTAACAAAAATATTCCTTTACTATTATCGTATTTACTGAGGATATATTGGTAAAATGTTGTCACAACAGTGCTCAGTGGACACAATGATCTAAACTTCCAAATGACATCAAATCCACGGGAACCCATGAAGTCAGCAGTGTTGTCAAGGGAAGAAAACAAAGTGGTACAAAGTTTTAAACACAGGAAACCACAGTTGTGTCGCGTTACTTATTTATTAAAATCTTTACAGTCTTCTAACATCAGAAGCCTGTAAACTTTAACTTAATTTTAAAGATATCACCTCACCATAGGGTATATTTAAAAAAAAAAGAACCCACTTTGCCTTATGTTATACAACAGCCATATAAACTAAGTTGTCAGTTTATTTCATACACCTAGCTTAAACTAACACAGGGTTTATTGCAGACTGGTTTTATTAGACTACTATATTGGAGGGCTATTGTATTAGACTGCATTAGTCTTAGTTAGATATACCCAATAAACTGGAGACTGAATGTAATTGCCATCTATCTCTGAACATTTCTTCCTTCGTATTAGTTACAAGTTCTGAAGTAAAAGCAGTTTATGTTGGACTATCTTACCATATTTGTAGCTTGATCTTCTTCCCATCTAATTCTATTGTTCTGATCTTGAAGTCAATACCTGAAGAAAAACAGAAGTCACACGATTCAGCCAATTTTAGCACATCTGTCACCTGTAGCTGAAATTACCTCAGCACCCCATTGATAAAAAACATGAATGTTAGTCGTTGGAAACCTCATAAACACTTTCTGTCACGTTGGCTGCCAGAGTGCGAAGTACATATGAAAACTGACACTGCCAACTAGCTCACTGACAGCTTTGAGGCTTGTTAGCTCAACCTGCCACAGTTCATATATAATATATAATATATGTATAAACAGCCCTTATAGTGCACACACACACACACACACACACACACACACACACACACACACACACACACACACACACACACACACACACACACAGGGGATTTCTACGTGAAATGAAATGAAAAAGAAAGCCCCTGTTAAGAAGCCGACCGGGCTGCTTCCTGACTAGCCACAGCAAGATCAATGCTAGCCAGAAAAGTTAGCAGCAGAATTAGCCTGACGGGATGGGCTGCTCCTGTGCCACTTTTCGGCAAAGACAACGCTAATAATAATATTTTTACGCACCTATAGTGGAGATAAACGTTGAGTTGAAGGCATCCTCTGAAAATCTGAATAGCACACAGGTCTTCCCGACGCCCGAGTCGCCGATTAAGAGTAGTTTAAACAAGTAATCGTAAGTCTTCGCCATGTTATTAGTTAGCTTACTACTGCGGATATCCCGCCCGGCGCACGCACAGACTGAGACGTCACTGCTCGCGAGCGGCCTTTTGGTCGAATCAGCTGTCACTCTGCTCTGTCGTCGTGGCTCCGGAAGTCCGTTGTCATCCTGGTGGGTATGCTCGTTTCGATGTCTGAGGTCACCCGGAGCAAGACAATGTTTGGATATCTGAACCACCGGTGTACTGGGCGGTGTTTGTGTGCTGCGGTCTACCAAAATAAAACTAGCTTTAGTTTATCAGTGATTGTATCTGTGGTTTGTGTTAGTTTCCTTTCCGATTAAGTTTTAAGGGGGATTGCCGTTATTGCTCCACTAAAAGTATCTGACAGGTACAAGTTATCATATGAGATTACAGACCGATAAAGAAAAGGGTTGTTTCAGTTTTTTATGTTCAGACCACATTTCTACTTGTGAAACTGAGGTCGTTAGAGGCACATGTATTCATAGTGGTTTCTTTCACTGTGGTGTGACAAGTTATTTTAACTAGAAATAAGTGTTGAAACGGATTATACTGAAGATTGTAAGTAACACAAACTACATTTAATTATGTTAAAAATACATTCTTGATAAACTACTTTTTACTAGGTTTTTTTCATAATACAACCCCCCCCACCCACTTAAAATGACTAAATATAAATAAAAATAAAATAAATTTAAACAAAATAAAGTTAGTTTTACTAAAAAATATATATAATCAGTATAATCAGTTTCAAACATTTTTAATTTATTTTTTTGTTAAATGAACGTATCTGGTTTTACAGTGTTTGTGCTGTTTATTAACATAATTATTAAAGTAACATTATTATGTACTCCACATGGACCAGTTCGGTCACTATAATAATCTGTTGCGCCTCCCCTGAAGACTCAGACCCCGCCTCCTGGTACTGAAACCAAAACGTTCATCAATCCAACAACAACCTACTGATTGTGTAGAAAGAACCTCAACGTTAACACCGCACTTACTGCATCTTCTTTACATTGGACCAAAACTCGAGTGATTTCAGCCAAAATGCCTGTAAGTGAAAATCTTTCCATTACTCTAGTCTCTGTTTTTTATGGTTACAACATCTGAACCTGTAGAATTGACTGTTCTGGTTGTCAGAAAGCTGCTCAAATAGATTGTTATTAACTGTTAATAAATATATATAATAATAAACATAATGAGAAATATACATCAGTCCGTTGTTCCATGAGTTGTGCAGCGTCTAAATATGTTTATAATTCCTAATTATTATCCGTATTCAGTATACTGCTGACAGGAATAATGCCCGGGCTTGCCTGGACATGTCTGTGTACTTCAGTCTGTCCATCAGACAGTAGGGGGCGTTAGAGTATAATCAAAACTCATCGTCCAGTTAATAAGTGAAATAAAAACACGTAAAGTTTACTGCATTATTTAAAATGACTAATGTAATCATGCTGTGATCTATGTTGCAGCTGGCTAAGGATCTGATGCACCCCAGCCTTGCAATGGAGAGGATAAGACACAAGAAGAAGAGGCTGGTGCAGAGTCCCAACTCCTACTTCATGGACGTTAAGTGCACAGGTACAAACTGTAGCACACATATCATTTCCTCACTGATTATTATAATTAATATTTATATTCTATTATGTGTTTAAAAGTGGAATATTATCATTTATCTTTAAATACTCTCCCAGGCTGCTACAGGATCACCACCATCTTCAGCCATTCTCAGACAGTGGTACCCTGTGCAGGCTGCTCTTTAGTCCTTTGCCAGCCAAGAGGAGGGAAATGCAGACTAACTGAAGGTAAGGAAAATGTCACAAAACAAGTATTTTGTACTAAAAAAAATTCCTTTTTACCTGCGATATTAAAATGTTTGATTTTTGTCTGTCTAGGCTGTGCCTTTAGAAAGAAAATTTCCTGAGCAGAAATCTACCAAAACACCACAGGCAGCAGATTGGACCATGGATAAATGAGTCTGAGCTTCAAACTTCTTGAATTTAAATGTGGCTAAGAGAAATGTCATCCCCCCTGTGGGGTTTCGTTGGACGGAGCAAGAGAGGAGCAATGCAAGGTTAAAATAAAGTTAATTACATGAAGACATTCTGATTATATGCTCAGATTTAATTGTATGTATATCAGATTAATAAAATGAATTCATGTCTTAATGTTGAGTAGTTACAACTACTTCTATTGACAAAGTAAAACATGTTTTTGAATCATCAAAATGCACAAACAAGTCCGATGAGTCATGATTTCTGTAAAACATTTATTAGGTTGACATAGAGGGGGGGTGGTGGTGGTGAATGAAACATTTCGAAATGGTCTTGATCACGTGTGAGGCGCTTTTCATGGCCCTGGCATGAGATGAAACCATGATGACCATCACAAACAAAAAAAATAAAACAATTTAAGAATTTATTGTCTGTGTTATGCGTGTTCTTTGGTCTTTGGAGAGTTCCCCTGGCAAAAAAAAGTGGTGTAAATGAAACAAAACCCAGAAAAAAATCAAAGCAATACAATTTCTCATATACCTAACATTATTCTACTATATACAATAAGTATCCATGGTTATTAAAACTTGACTGAGCTTCCAGTGGTTTGGGGTTTAGCTCGCTCATGTAATAATATATTGTAAATCTAGTAAATATTGGCTACATTATGGCGTATTGTTGGCAACGATGCTGAAAGTGTCTATGGTCAGGTCAAGCTCAGGGGAAGGTAGTACAGCTTAGAGTTGCAGGTCACTGCTAGATACTATACATGCACAGCTCCCAGGTTCTGCACAGATTCCCACACCAAAGAGAGAGAGTAGTAAAGCTGGATGCACATAAATATCCAGTGCATCTCCAACATGTAGGCCTCAGGATGACTGGGGATTGGCAGAAGAGACATTAATCTTTAATTAAATGTAAGGAAGCCTAGAGTGACTGAGCAGCATGTGCTTTGACCTGTGTATCAGTGAAACCTTTCCATAAGGTCACCTGTCCATTTGACCATGCTGTACAAATATAGAGATTTAGAGATTACAGATTTAAGAGGATACTGCAAAGACAGGCACAGAGAAGTCGAATGTCTGTTAACTTGTAGCCTCTTAAGTTTGTACAGCATGATCAGAAAAATGAAACTGATGACTAACTTCACATCACCACTGGGTGGCACTAATGTAGACTGAGCGAACCCCAACGCCATCTGCAGCATATGTATTAAAATAATCAGACAGGCTTAATGTATGTGCACATAAAATGTAAAACTGAGCCAGTTTAAGTGGTTTGGGGACCAAATCTGAGATTTTCTTATGGGTGTAATAATTGCCAGTTCTTTCTAAATGAGTGGTCAAAAAGTATTTCTGGGGAGAATTTCTGCAATCACAGCTGGAGATAAAAAAAAATAAAAGCGATGTGGTCAAAGTAACTTCCCATCTTAAAAAATAAAAGAAGGTTGTGCCTTAGAAAAAAAATAAAAAACATCAAGGGACAAGCATTAAGTTAATCCCCCTTCTCACGGGGAATAAAGATTTTACAGCTCGAAATGTGGAATGGAGTCGAACATTGAAGGAATGTTACGTGACGATCTCATCCTCTCCAGTTTCCTCTCTGTGTGTTTATAAGCTGTTCAGTTCCTGCAGGGTTTGGTCCAGGACTTGATGTATGCCCAGATTCTCCTCTTTGGCATGTGATAATTTCTCTGGAGAAAAGGAAGAAAAGTGACATGGTAAAGCCTCAACCATTACTTGAAACAAGATCCATTGTAAAGCAGCACCGAGCACTGTTTTACTGAACAGATGTTTTGCATATTATGAACTATTTTGGTTAAGCTGTGCATCATGCAAAAAAATTCCACCACACCTCTGTGCCTTTCATGCATAACCTGCTCACTGCTGCTGTCTTCCTGAAGGCTGTTAGTAGATTGCAGTCTGGACTTTTTAGAGGCCCTGTATGCTACACTGTGGGGTCATTCGTTATATTAGATGCAGCCTTTGTGTAAAGAGTGTTCATATCTGTACTATTCACACGTGAATGTATAAAATCAGACACCATTAAAGTTAGATTTACAACCAAAATAGTGTTTTATGGGGTCAAAAGGGGGCAGCAAATTGCATTAATTCACACCAAAACCAGAGTAAATCTCTCACCTTGTCTCATATACATTTGCTGATAATAAGACATACAATGTACATTAAGATCAAACTGCAGGTTGCCTAATTACAAAAGCCAAAGAGTGCATTGCAATGTACACAATGTAGCTGAGGATATGCATCAAATGTTTTACTACAATATACAACTTGTATGAATAATGAAGAACAGAGAGACAAAAAGCTGTGAAGTAGGAAAGAAAAAGATTTTAATTAATTATTTTCTGCATAGTAAGATGGGAGGAAGGCACATGTATGATCCACAGGGAGAAGCTGGAGAATCCGAACACGAGACGGAAAAAGTGAAGTGAAAGGCAGAGAAAGAGAGAGAGAGAGCATCTACAGAGATGTCATGTCATTGAGGGCATGGTCCAGCTCCTCGCTAATGGCCTTGTACTTCAGCTTCTGAGCATACAATTCATCTGGAGGTCAGAGGTCGACAGGAAGTGCAGGCAGGTGTCAAGGACAGCAACGACACAAACAAGCCAAAAGCAGGATAAGAATGAGAGATAGATGGAGGCAAAGAGGAGAGGGAGGAAGGAGAAGACAAAAAAAAAATAGGTCAGGCTTTTTAAAGATGCAGAAATGCTTGGAAGAAAGAATGATGCACATCTAAATATGCTTCCAGCTCTTTAGTTCGGTGAGCTTTGAGCATTTAAGCTTGTTCTGAATCTCTCATAAAACTGCACCAATAACTCTATAAACTCAGCTGCCTGTGGTTCTGCAACTAAATAATGCTGACCTAAAAACATCTGAGCACATTCTGTCCTCTTTGCAGCCTGGCTGACATGGACTAGTTGTCCTTCAGAAACAAGGGTCTTTTATTAGCTTGTCTTAGGTAAGGAGTTTCCATACATCTGGCTCTTTCCTTTCCACTGAAAATATTTCCAGTGTTGCTGGAATAGGACACTCCTTCTGGGGTCTTTGTCAAACTGAATGTAATTGTGTGTGTGTGTGCATTAAGATGGATTAGGATTAGAGTTAGCCCCTGACCAACAGGAAACTCCATGTAACTATCTGCATGTGGTCCATCAACATGTTTCCTGCATCCTTCACTTCAGATGACTGGTTGGTCATTTAAAGCCAGTCACACTATTGACCGATTGAACTGCCTTTGCCTTTTTATCTTATATGAAAAATGTGAGTGGTACTGATCTCATACCTTCCAGGTCATCAATGGATTTTTCCAGTTTGGCCACTGTCCTCTCTGCAAACTCTGCACGAGTTTCAGCCTGACACAAACACAGATACAGTATGTTACATTGTAAGAAACACGCTATAATGTAGTGAATTCAACATTCAAGAGTGAAAAACCATTGGTTTTCAATGGCAAGTAATCATAAAAATGACATTTCATTTTCAAAGCATGTGCATATTAAACTGATAAAAAATAATTTAAAAATTATCAATTTAGTGTGTGGATAAAATTAGGAGAGAAATGTAGGTAGAGAGGGTGGGGGATGACATGCATCAAAGGTCCTCAGCCAAATTCGACCCAGAGACGCCGCAGTTACATCTTATGTATAGATAGTAGACCACCACCCAATTGTGTTGCCCATCCCAGTGTTTGTTAAATAGGACATAAGTGCTTCACTCTACAAGAATCCCATATACACTAATGTCATCAGAAGCAGCTTTTTGTGGTTTTTTCTTTTGTTGTGGAACTAGAATCATGATCTCACCTCCTTCAGTTTGTCAGTCAGGACTTTGATCTCCTCTTCGTACTTGTCTTCTTTTTCTGAGTACTGTTGACAGAGACACAAAAATTACATTACCAAGTAAGTGGCAAAAATACTCACATGCTTTCACCTAACTGTGAATACATTTTAACATCCATGATACATTAAGATTATAGCTGCACCACTCCTTTAAAGGAGAGAAATATAAGGTAGTGGCACGAAATAACGCAAGGTGTTGGCTTGGGAACAGGTTTCGCTGTGATGCCAACCATGGCAGACCTGACTGAACAAAGCAAAGGCATGTGTTGCTGAAGGAGAGCGGTCATGTGGTAAGCCTGGCATGCCGTCATACTGCCTGTCTGTGCCTGGGGAGGAATGTAATGTAGCAAACAGGAAGAATGTACTGCAGGTCTCTACTGGCTGCTGGTTCGTGTATAGAGAAACACTATTAACCCCTGCATGATAAAAAAGCAGCCTCAGAGGCTAATTTGTCGTGTGTAGTTATTGTGCAAACATAATTTAAACAGCTACATGTCAAAGGAGTTCAGGTCTTACACTCTTGATATGTTCAGGTCTTCATTTAGATAACCTGAGGGCAAAATAAATGGTTGTGTTGTAAGTAGGGCCTGATGATACACAATTATAATGGAGGTAGTATGAAACAATACTTTGTTGATGTGGTATCCCTCCCGACACACTCAAATTACTGTCCCCTGAGCCATGAGAACAGCCCAAATGATAGGATACAGCGAAGTGGAAATGAGTATGTGCGGGCTGCCAGACCTGGTGTCCAGTATATACTGTTGTATATATTTAGGTTGTGTGTTTGTGAAAGAGAACGAAAGCAACTTCATAAACCGTCAGTCAGCTCTGCCATAATATAAGCCAATATGGTTAGGAAATTACATTCTACCACCAATGCATTTTAAACAGATATGTTTGTCTTTGGCAGGCCAAAACATTGTCAGACTCAGTGAATGCATCCCGGGCTCGGAAACAGGTGTTTTTTACTCACAGTTTGTGGCTAGCCTTACACAAAATCCTGACACAATGCTTGTTTTGAACATTACTGGATAAAAAAAAACAAGGTCTGCTACAGGCAGCTGCATTTTTTATTTATATAAATATGTAAATGTACTCAAATGTCACTCTCACCTTCTCAGACTGGGCTTCTAAGGACTTCAGGTTGTTGGTCACATTTTTCAGCTCCTCCTCCAGGTCACTGGCTTTACTGTGAAGAGAGACCAGCATATTGTTTTAATGCAAAAACGAGAAGTGAGGACATGTGCGTCTTCATGCTCATGTTTGTGTGTTTGCTGGTTTTACCATTCTGAGAGCTCAGCCCTCTCCTCAGCTCTCTCCAGCTCACCCTCCAGGATCACCAGCTTACGGGCCACCTAGGACGAAAGACATTCAAACTCAGGGGGGAAATTTGGGGACTCAAAGCACAACAGGATCCAAAAGACAAGAGCCTGGACAGCGCAGTGGATCCCAATTTAAGGATGTCGGTCTTGACTCCTGCTGTCAAAGTCTCACCTCCTCGTATTTACGGTCGGCCTCTTCTGCAATGTGTTTAGCCTCCTTCAGCTGCATCTCCTGAATCTCCATCTTCTCCTCGTCCTTCATCGCTCGGTTCTCAATCACCTTCATCCCTCTGTTCGGACATGACACAGTGTGTAAGGATAAATAAGCCTTTAAATCATGTTATGAAAGCCAGGTGTTGCAATGAAATGGGTTCTCACACACAGGCAATGACATCTAAGGAATATCATGGTTGAATCTCGCTTAATATAATTTAATCTGACCTCTCGCTCTCATCTGCGGCCTTCTCTGCCTCCTCCAGTTTCTGCAGTGCTGTGGCCAGCCTCTCCTGGGCTCGGTCCAACTCCTCCTCCACCAGCTGAATCCTACGGTTCAGACCTGCTACATCACCCTCCGCCTGAGAAGGAAAAAAGGGGGAGAGAGAGAAATTTAGTCATTCATTCATTCAACTTTAAGGGCCTGTTTTCACGAATACGCGGCCTCACCCAATACGCTGTCGTTTCGAAAAAGATCTCCGTAAACACGGCGTCGTTTCCAGAAATATCTGTGTCCACACGGATTCACTGAATCGACCTAAAACACTGTAGCACATATGCCAGGCCTGTATGTGGCGCTGTGACGCCGCCACACCAATACACTAAAACCGGAAGAGAAGCCATGGAGCCTGTGCTGTTTACAAACAAGTAGTAGTAAGTCCGCCATTGTTGTTGTTGTTGTTGTTATGACGCATCTAGCGGCGGCGGCTGAGGTTAAAGGCTAGAGAGGCGGGGCTAATAAGTTATTGCCATCCAGACGACTCTTTTAAAAAAAATTTTCCCCAAAATTTTTTGGGGGAAAAAAAAATTTTTTTTCTTTTAAAAAATTGGGGGAGGCCCTAAAACCACCCCCCCCCCCTTGTTCCCATCGTAAAACAGGAAGAGAAGAAAAGGCACAAAGTGGGGCAGTGAGGAGAGAAAAAAGGTGGACGGCAACCTGTAGCTTTCTTCGAATTGCCTGCTTTTCGTATTTAGTGTTATTGTTTTGTGGCTTGTAAAACTCTTTGTGAGGCTATGTTGAAAATGGAATAAGAGAAAAATAAGACAGGAATGAAAGTGTAGTTTCTAGGAATCAGGTGTGTCCTCCTGCCCCCTATTTTCCCTGACCACTGTCTGGAGGTTTGTTAAGATGACTTAAGCTAATTCTCCCCCTAAGTTATAAGAATCTTTGTATAATAGAGACTTTTCACTTTCACTTACCCCCATTGTGACAGTTTCTATGTGTTTTTATCAAATTCATATGCAAAAACTAAACATAAGTGTTATTATTGTATTGGGAAACAGTAACTTTAGTGTTTGTCCATCTTCTTTTGAAAGCTGTCACCGGTGTATCGGGGCAGCCATGTTGGGGGAGAGGCAGCTACACAAACATTCAGTGCCGTGCCTTTATAGGACTCCTGTTCTGAAATATACCTCAGATAAATATGTTTAAATAAAAGCAGCTATATATAACCTGGTGCCATGACTATAGGGAACTATTTTGCCTGTTCTGTACACTCATGAAGCTCATGCATAGTCTCCTCCATCCACACACGAACTAAAATAGATTCAATTCCATCTGTACTATGTGAGTATGTGAGATGCTGTAATCTGTTCTTTTTGCTCTCTGGGGCCGCTCATGTTTCACAAATCAATAGTAGAGTCCAGCTGATGAATAATAAGTGAAATGGAGACAGCTGGAGGTCCTTGGAGGATCTTGTACAGAAGCAGGGCCTACCTGTAATAAACAGTCTCTGACGAAACACAACTAACTAACTGCTGAGTCTGGCTGGAAGAGCTGATCCTTTTTAATATCTGAAAATCGCGGGACTTTGAATGAAACTTTGAAACTCAATTTCCGGTGACTGTGAATGCAGAACTGGGCCAAGTAGGGTGGACTAATGGGCTTCTTCTCATCTGCCCTTGGTAAACAAATGCCGAGAGAGGAAAAAGAAAGCAAACAGACAACTATACAGGCATTTCCTCTCTGTTGGCCTGGGAGTTTATCCAACCACCACCTCCTAGGGAGACGCTTGCAAACTGAAAACCAGCCAGCTTTCATACAAAAGTTACCTTAAAGAAACTGCCTACTGTTAAAATGTAAGTTTACAACCAGACAGCTCAAACAGCATAACATAACTTTACAACGCTTAACGATTCATTCAAAACCAGCGTACTCACACTCGCTGTTCTTAAAATGAAGCAGCTGGGGATTTCTTTGACAAACAGACATTATTCTGTGCTCGGTTGCAGGGCAGCAGTTTGTAGGTCAATGACTCATTAGCTAGTCATTCAGTCCAGAAGTCAGTCTGCCACTCAGATCAACAGTCAAAGTGTCTGCAATTCATTTTACAGGTAGGTGAGTCATTCCGCTACACATTTGGTGAGATAAAGTCATTTAGAGAGACAAAAGAGAAAGGACTGGCAATGAGGAGAAAAGGTATCACTGCAGAGAGAGAAGAGGGAGCTCAGAAAGTTCAATGGAAAAGAGTTATTAACAGTCTGTTTGTGCTGAGAATAAATAGACCTCCATCCAGTCTATTCTTCCATTCTGTCATAGACTCAATATTTCAGGAAATGAAAGCATGGTTTCCTGCTGGCACAGGCCTCGTTTTTAATTTTTAACATTTTCTCCCTCTCGTCTCCATGTCATCTAAGACTGCTGACTAGCCAGTCAGTCTTTCCACCTCTCTTTTTCTCTCTCTTGCTCCCTCCCTTGGTTCTTTTTTGTCCTCTCCCAGGTCCTGCCCTACTGCACCCAGAGCTGCCAGGGGAGGCAGCGTTGATATGAGACAGGAAATGTCTGCCGAACTAGCGTTGACATGTCTTAAAGCAGCCAACACTTGATAGAGGAAAACCCAACCCAACATAGAATGAATGAAAAGTTATAAATCGGCTGTAACATCTTGAAATCTCATCAGCAATGTCCTCTACGCTGGTCTGCATCTGTCGACACTACATGTGGCTGGTCAGAAACATTGAACAGGATTAAACTGGAGCCTGAAATAACAGATATTGTCACGTCCTAAGTCCTGAGTGCAGCAATGTGCTGTGAAGAATACCGTCTGCACATAAACAAACATGCTATTCATGAGCTTCAGGTCAGCTACACTGGCACATCAGATGCTGTAATGCACTTCCAGACACACACATTCACTCTGCAAACATGCAAACAGTAACTCTCATTCTGTCAATCCATGCCTCTCTCAAGCAAACATAATTACAAGCTAGCAACCGGCCAGTTTCCCGCCCAGTTAAATGTTTGTTGTCAGGCAACACACAAACACAAAAGGTCTTAGCTAATAACACTATGGTAGTGGTATATCTACACTCTCAATCAGATTTGTGCAACCTGGTGTTTTATCTGTCATCAGAGTTTCACAATCACGGGGGGGGGTCCCCTAATGGACAGAGACAGCCTTGTGTCAGGTAAAAAACATCTTATATGTGTACAGCACATACTCTCATGCCTCTAATTCACTCAGCCATGACCAGAGTAGAGAAGAGCTTTTCCTGTAAATCCTGATGGTACTGTTGACAATACTTCAAGTGCAGCTTTACAAAACCATTTAACCAATGCGTAAAGGACAGCAACACAAGCTCTTTGAAAAGTATTCAGAGCTTCTGCACAAAACTAACAAATGTGACTTCAATGTTAAGGTAAAGGTCACAAGAGCTGGGAAATACCAAGTCGGGTGAATGAAGCTTTTTCTTTAAGAATAGATACTAACGTCACTTTACAAATGAGGATCTTGAAAAGAGTGACAGGAAGTCAGCTGCCCAACATCCTTTCATTTCCTCCCTTTGATTGTTCTTTCTTTCAGGGCTGGTATTCTCTCTGTCTCTGGGCCTTGCCTCTTCCTTTAGCACCCACTTTGCATTCTTTGACTGCCAGGGACGCACACCGCCTTATATGGTAAAACAAACTACTGTATGGAGAGTGTTTGTGGTGGAGTATCAGGAAGATTGTGGCAGCGAGCACACACACACACACACACACACACACACACACACACACACACACACACACACACATATGTAAAAGATACTGGATGACTGGAAGTAACTGCCCTGTTATCAAGCTAGTTTATATGTAACACCAGGGCTTTCTTAAAGGTGAATGGCATTCCAGTGACTGCTGGCTACTTCACAGCTTCCCTGGACCTGTTAGTGCCTCACTAAAAGCCATTCAGCCTTGGTGGCTTTAATAGTCTTACAGGAATAATTTGGTGAGAGTTAAATGAGAGGATGCAGACCAATCTTATGTCTGTACAGTATATGTGAACCTACAGCCAGCAGCCTGTTAGCTAACCTGCCCAAAGATAACAAAATCTGCCTATCATCACCTATAAAGCTCACTAATGAACCTGCTATACCTTGTTTATTTAATCCACATACATTGTTGTTTTAAAGGGGGTTGTGTGCCGGATTATTTCTCGGCTGGGCGCAGTCACTTCCCAGAGTCTGGCTACTGCACAGTGGCGACAAGCCCCCGTAAAAACCACATTGTGCCTGTTTTAAGCTCCGTTTTTGTACGGATTAAACAAACAAGATATAAAGTGTTAATCAGTGAGCTTTAGAGGTGTTGGCTGGCATGTTATGTTACTTTTGTACAAAGCCAGGCTAGCTCTTTGCCACCGTTTCCAGTCTTTATGCTAAGTTAACCATATACAGATGTTCAGGCTGCCTGGCTATTCTCAGGAGCATCAATAAGTGACACAAACTACAATATGTAGGAATACAGGGCTCTAATGTGCTTTTCCATTCACCTCTCTGTCACTGGTTGGCTATATATTGTCTATTGGCCCCTATTTAATAAACAGTCTGCAGGCTGACATGAAGATACAGCACAGTTCTACTGGGAGTGACTTAAGAAATACCTGAGTGTATTAAATGTATTAGAGACAGGATCAAGGACAAGTTAAAGAGGAATCTAATTATTGGCTGATTCCAGGGCAGTGGGTTAATGAGCTGCACAATGCTGTTGGGTTTCAGGGGAAGTTATTCCTGACTCTACTGCTCACTACTCTCTATGTGAATGTGTGTCTGTGAGTGTGTAATCTTTTTTCCCATAAAGATCTGGCATGCAAAGACAGCTACATACAGTATAAGCCAGCCTGTCAAAAAGGTATGATATGTAAAAGAAGGTTATTAAACTTCCAGACAAGCATCACTATGAGTTCTCTCTGTGCAAAATGTAATTTGTCGCCATTTTTCTACAGTATGTATTCAGACTTTCACACAGCTCTTGAGCTGGTTTGAGGCTTTCGTTTCAGGCTCTGCCGCATAATACTCAACTGTCTAATTGTGACAAGAGGCCCTTCAGGAATCCACGAAATGTACTGGGAAGAAAACTATTCAGGGGACTTTGCAGGATTCAGACAGCTGTCTTTCTTGGTTTTAATGGAATTTACATTAGTGGCATTTTTTAGAAAACAGCATTGGTCTTTAATTGTGTGGTCTCTGAGCAAATAGAGAGCAGGCAATTTAACTACTAACAATCCTAGCAGCAGTTTACCCGAGCAATAAAACAGTTTATGCAGTTCTTTCAGACTAAATCAATACCATTTCCACTCTGCAGTACAAGCACTGACATGCTAACAGATGCAGAGATCCTGCTTTGACAAAACCATCAACACAAGTATAGCACTGAACTTTGCATGCATCCACAAAGTAAAAGACTGGTTCAGTGTGATGGATTTGAAATGATTCAAACACTACCATATGCTATAAATGCTACATAAAATCCTATAATTCCCAGTCCCTAAATGCTACTTAATGACATTACAGCAAATTTAGCTTCACTAGCACAGACTGTATAAATATATTCTACTCTTTGCTTGGACTAGAACCCGCAACCTTGGCCTACATAATCAGCTAAGCCACAAGCCACTAACATGGGAGTTTTCCCCAGAATGCCAACACTGTCAAAACGTATCAACATGTGGCAGTTATATTTGGAAAGTTGAGCTATTCCCAGGGAGAAAGTCCAAAGAAAACAGTGAAACCAGGAAGTATTTCTTTCCACAGAATCCTTGAAACCCACTGCCCAAACCAAGCAGCAGACAGACGCTACTTATGATTCATTCTGACAAACTGATGAGCTGAAGGAAGTTGTGTTTAAGATAAGCATTATTTCTAAATTACTTCCTGCAGTTAGTTTTCAATATGAGATCTAAGTGGTGTAAAATGCACACGGTTGTAACTTCCGTGTGTCTCCCAAATCCAGTGTGAATGTCATTGTGGTCCAGTAGCACATGCAGACAATTCTATATACAGAGACAGATCATTTGAGTTCAATAGTTGACCCCCATTGTCATAAGAAAACTAACTTCAAGTGAACTAAAAGGAGCTGAAGTGGACATTTAAGGTTTTTTTTTATTTTAAAGTATTGAACTTTCCCAAAAGTTGTACACCACTGACAAGAATCTGCTTTAACCCGTGTAGAAACCACCACAGTCCACCACAAACACTAATCTTCCTGTTGATCAGTGCTGGAGGGACAGGAAGTGCTGGGAGTAGAAGCACAGGAAGCGCTGGACCAGAGTCGGCAGACGACATCCTGGGAGGGGCAGCCGAGGGGGATGAAGGTGCGTGGGGATGACCTTCTTCCCAAAACTGATACCTCAGTGGGGGTTTGAGTCCCACTTCCCATTTAATCTGGCTTTAGATATGGATCAGTATGCCACAAACAGCACTTCTTCATGCGTAGAGGTAAAACACCAATTATCACCATGGCAACTGTATGTTGTCTGGTGTAAACATGCGTGTGCTCAGCATACAAAAACTTCTACTTCAAAAAAGGGAACAGATACTTTACTAAGCTTTTAATTCTACGCATTTAATGTCCTTTGTTGTCATTTCTGATCATGATGTCATTATTTACTCTCACAAATATAACAAATGTCGATCATAGAGGGGAAAGTTGTATCACAAATGGTTCATCTGTTGCTCACACAGCTCTCAGGGTCATCATTAAGTAAAAACAATCATCTTTGGCTTGACTGACCCTGAACCTTCAACCAGCAAACAAGTGTGACTGCTGTGAAACACAATGAAAAATGAATAGCTCATTGAGAATAAAGGCCATACATAAAATACATCTAAGGAGGTCAAATGAGCGTTTGAAGACTATGTCATGTCTCTGTAATCTGACAGAGCCTTAAGGGCATTATTGAGCGGTTGAGTAACGTCTCCAGAGGTAACAAAACCGCACTAGGAATAACACGAAGCAATTACTTTTATTTTTTAGTGAGAGATGTGGCCAAGTGTTTTTCTGATGCCTCTACATTTTAAAACAATGATTCATTACCCTAACACACTCAGCAAGGTTCCTGTTTTGATCTCCCCGTGCTCCGATGAAAGAGTTTTTGTGCCGAAGGAATAACTCCAGGTTGCCCTAATTATTCACATGTGGGACCACACCAACCCCGCCACACAAATACACTGCTCTGTTTGATCAAGGTTAGCAGAGATGTAACATATCCTCTAGGGCTGGTAGGCAGATAAAGGACAATTGTAATCCTCCTATTAATCATTTGTAAACAGTACAAACACATTTCATACATTGTTTACACACATTATAACGTAACTATAAGCATATATAGGGTGTTTTTAAGTTTATTGATCTATTTGTCAACACCTTCAACTCCTCTGGTTCTGGTATCTACTTTATAATGTGTTAAATATATATATGTACAATTTCTGGTTTGTTTATGTACTGCTCATAAATGATAAATAGGGGGCATTAAAGTAAAGTTTCACCACTTGTGGTTCAGTATCTATAAAATACAAATTTTAATTTGTCAGTCAAGTTCTGACAGTGCATGTTATCCTTAAAAAAAGTTAATGTTTGACTTCAACTGTACTACTACTACTACTACTACTACTACTTTTGGCTCCTGAGCAGTTACTGTACTCACACCCATCCCTGTACATGTGACGGGAAACACACAGTAGCCTCATTTACCTTCAGAAATTAGCAGGAGGTGTGTCCTAAAAGATAAAACATTAATAAGCACTACCAGAAATCTTACACAATTCATCCGTCCATTGATTATACCCACTTCAATTCTTTGGAATTATGTATTCCTACAGGTTGGACATTAAGATTTCACTGAACTAAACAAACACAAGGTACTCTATAAGTCCAAGTCATGTAGTAACAGACAGGCAACTATGAGGAATTATTACTAATGTCACTGACGTCAGAATACAAGTTGATATCAGAACGATTACCCACAAGCTGAGTAAACGCCCAATTGTCAAATTAAAAAGATGCCCTGTTACCTAATAGGCAGTCTGTAACAAAGGGGTAAGTCCTACAGCAGGCCAGCTCCTTTCATCATCTCAGCTCCCATATCTTTACAGCCACACCTTCCCCTCCCACTCTCCTTCAATCTTTCTACTTGTCCTGTCATTAACCAGCTCCTATGCAAAGGATATGACACCATATGCCATAAAGCAGCATGTGAAACAAGTCAGGACTGTTACTTAATTGTGCTGCTAAGCATTTTTTTTCTCTCCAATATCTACAACAAAAACTCGGATGTGGGCAGAGTCAAGAGACAGGCAGGTGACAGACCTGGGCTCAAAATCAGATGAGTCACTTTCAACACATCTATGCGTCTAGTTTGAGAAACCACACATTTTTGTAACTTCAACGATGACTTGTGCTGGTTGCAGCTGGTTGTTGTGCAACTGCTGCTGATTCTGTATGTTGATATGTAAACATGTGGAAGTGTTGAAAATAAGGTTGCAACTCCCAATTATTCTCATTACTGACGAATCTACTGATTAACAGCTTTATCTATAGAATATCAGCAAATAGCAAAAAAAGAAAACAAGTTCTCAGAGCACAAAGTGACATCTTTAAAGTTCTTCTTTTGTCAGACCAGCAGTCCAAAACTCAAAGATAGAAGATAGCAGAACATATTCACACATATAAAGCTTTTAAAGATTAACTAAGGATCAAAATTGCTGCTGATGAATTCAACGTGGATCGACTGATCGATTAAGCGAGCAAAAGCTTCAGCTCTAGCTGAAAATGGCACATTTTTCCGACTATTCCTTTGAATCCCTAATAACAGAGTAGGCTAATTCTGAGTATGCCCTTTATTTTCCTATCATCAGTGGAGGCCGGGTGGTATGGCGGTTAGGCATACACCCAGACAGCTGCTGCTGGCACACATCCACCCTGCTGAGTGTCACTGAGAAAGACATTAAGAGTGTGAGAAGTGAATTTCCCCAGAGAGTCACATCATTATCATCATCACAATCATCATCTAAATGCTGGCAGCTGATACCACCTAATTAAAAAGCTGTCACAATTAAAAGATAATGAATTTAGTATTTACATGGTTCATATTAATAAGAAATAAGTTTATCAGTCTCATAAATATATTACATTTTGCACAATAAGTTCAGCGGTCGGTGTCTACGTGGTCTTCATTATTCACTGTAGTTTTACAGCGGCCTGTAACTCAGACTGCACTGAGCATGCGCACAGACCTGCAGGAATCCAAACTTTTTTCATTGAGGACCAACGCCTTGCATTGTGGCACCATCACGCCCCACGAATGAATCAATGACATGAACTATTTAGACTTTTTTTTAGAGCCCGAGAGGTTGAATGTGAAGAATCTAACATCATTTCATGTGTCTGACAGTGTGATAGGAGAGCGGAGCGGGAAAAGATCGGGGTTATGAGGGAGAGAAAAGACCTAAAAATGAGAGGATTTGATTGTCTCACTTTCTCTCGGAGCTCCCGTTCACTGTCCAGCTCTCTCTGTAGGACCTGAGCCCGATCCTCCGCGTCGTCGGCCTGCTGCTGCAAACACTGAATCTTCCTCTTCACAGCATCCAGAGAGTTCATACCTGCCATTTTAGACTGTTTTGTTACTTAATTTAAGACTACGCGTCAAGGAAAAAAACAGTTAAGACTATTTCTGGGTTGTGCAAAAAAAGAAAGAAAAGTAGGCTAGTGCCTCCTGCTTGTTTGGTCTATTCAGAATAATATTATAATAAGAAAAAAATGACTTTGATCGTTGATTTAAAAAGAAAAACAATCAATGTCCGACCGGGGCCAAAGTCTTCGGAATGTAAAGGAGTCGTTCAAGTGCAACAAAAGTTATATAACCAGAAAATAACAGTGTCCAGGTGTTCTCCAAATGTTTCTTCTGGTCTGTAGGAATGATAGGTTCATGAGCAGTGAAGAAAGTTGTCCTCAGGAATGTTGCAGTTTTGGTCCGGACACTTTGGGTTTGAGGAAGAGGAGTAGAAAAGCTGCGCTGTGAGGAGAGCGGAGAGCGCCAGACTGTGGCGGAGGAGGAGAGAGATGATTGGGACGATGAGGTCAGAGAGGGCGGGGCGTATGTCCTATAATGTGTGTGTGTGCGTGTGTGTGTGTGTGTGTGTGTGTGTGTGTGTGTGTGTGTGTGTGTGTGTGTGTGTGTGTGTGTGTGTGTGTGTGTGTGTGTGTGCGTGTGTGCGTGTGTGTGTGTGTGTGTAAACGATCCATGATCCCTGTGACTGATGCGATCACTGCTACGAGACTTTGAGAAGAGAAAGGAAAAGCCAGGATCAATTACTTTCAGTTATTGTAAAGGCACAGTGTCCATAGTTTAGATGTCACACACACACTAATTTCAACTTTAGACTTGATTTGACAGTGACATGTCCCTTTATAGTTTTAAGGTTTAAGGTTTGAAGTTTGCATTGTGCATTAGGAATATAATATATACTGTGTATTTGATTGTGGAAACAATTTCCAGCATTTCTTTTTAAGTTTAATCAATGAAAGCCCCAAAACACTGGATCAATAACAGCTCCAATACTGACCTTATGAAGCAGATAGCATATTGCCCATGACCAATCCGCATTAAGTACAGTTTCTTTGACAATGTCATTAAAAAACTGAATTATTCTTCTAACTGTTACATTCACTCAATTATGACAAACTGTAGATCTTAAATAATTAATAAATAATAAGTTCTATGCAGTGAAGTGTAACACTGGTACTGGATCAGTACTCAGCAAATACTCTGCTGCATTTGTTCAAGTATTCACTTCTTTCTTGGGAAATACTGGAGATTACAGACTCAAAGATACGTTAACATTAAACAACGTTAGAAAGGAAAAGGGAACTTCATGGTTAAACTGCTCGCATATATACACAACTGGGGGTAAAAGGTCAAAATTAAGGATCATGTTGGCCCTAAAGACTCAACAGATAGATCAGCAATGGTGTCGGCGGTCGACAAGTAGCAAGAAACTGCTGTACAGAAAGCCAAACATTAGTCACCAATAGTCACCCTCCACACACAAATATGTTTTTCTTCTTGTTCCTTAAGTGGATTGTTTGAGCTTCACTGTGCAGAATGATGTATGTGCAGAGTTTGACACTAGAAGGATGTTTTCACATTCATCTTCTGAAAGTGGAAAGTTTCTCTGAGCTCATTGAAAATCTGATGTTTAAGGGGCGGGGGCCTACTACTATGATTTGTGACATCACAAATAGTTTATCCAGTATGCAACTTAAACAAGTGTGATGTAGAAACTTGTATGTGTCTTAATACAAGGAATCCTTGTAGAAAATGTTTATGTGTTTATATTATTATATTATATAATTACTGGCTCAAATATTAATATTGATACCGACTGCAAAAATCCAGCATCAGTCAGGCTATAATATCATTGGATATATCATCTTATGCTTATTCAGTGAAATATTACATTATTCTAGATACTGTGTGCATCATTTTGCAAAAACTATAGACTATATTACAGTATACATTTCAAAATAAAGTTATAAATAGTGTGCAGCTATTATAAGGAAGGGAGGGCTGAAGAGGCTGCCAGCTGCACAGATATTAAAACATAATTACATTGATAAAAATATTGTCTGTATTTCCTCTTGAACTCAAATTAGTAGAAGAAACTACATACTATCTAAATGTATATACAACAAATATATACCTAGTTGATGATGACATATTACTTCTAGGGATTTTTTATTATCTTGCTATTTATGGACCTCTTACCTCTCAGGAAATCTGTTCAGTGAATTTTTAACAAGATATGCATCATAAATCTTTCTATTTTTGGGGAACTGTGTGAGTGTTTGTCTTGAAGGAGTAAGCAAACAACATCCACCACCTGCCTGCTTGTAGCTGATGCTCATAGTGTGGGTGTAAATCACATTTATGCTGCATCGTTCATGTTTCTCTGCCAGCCCTGCCTGTGTTTACCTTCCCCGTTTCCTATTCACACGCCCGGCCTGTGAGCAAATATGTTGGCTGCACGACCAAGCCGTCCAGCAGATCTCAGCTTGGTTCAAGTTCGGCTCGAAACTCACCGTGAAGAAAAGAAAAGTCGCTCACAATCAATCTCATCTGTTGATTGAGCCTCTCTGTCTGATTTGCCCCTTGCACCAGAAAAGCTGGAAGCATTGATTTCATTAGACACAGGAGTGTGGGGCTTTCTGTTTGCCTTAGCTGCATTCCTGGCATACCAGAGCCCCCCTGCCTGCTCTCTGCTTTCTCTGCCCGGCCGCCCCCACAGTCCAGCTTTCCCCCTAAAACAGTAACTGTTGCTGCAGTGAACAGTGTTATCAATACCTGTATCAACACTACATGCTGCCACCCTCTTTGACTCTCACCACCTTTGGCTTTCTGCATCAGACTCTCTGCCTTGTGGCGTGAGCTGACAGTGAAGCTGTGATGACCTAAATATCAGCTCTACTAGTCGCTGCTGCAGGGACTATTTTTCACGAATCACAACTGCTCGCCTGTTGGGGTCTTTGGCTCACTGTTCTGCTTTTCCCAGCCCCCTCCAGGTTTCCAATCTGGTCGTGCTCTCTGTGTGAATTCAGATGTGTAATGACTTGACTGCGGCCTCTAATAAGTGACATGTGGAGGGGAATTTATGGAAGTGGAGTAGAGCAGCTTTACAGGCTAGAAATGTTGACATCAGGACAGAATGTAAACAAAATCTATTTTTAAGAAAACTCTCTTTTCACAAACTGCTGCACACAAAGGAGTGGAGCTGTACCTAGTCAGGCTCAAACCACAACTTCAACCACTGTTTTTTCCAGAGGCCCACTTGACCCACTTTACATGTGAGGCTTCTCAGAACTGTTCTCAGAGTTTATTTAATCACTGCGTGAGGATAATCCAGCGTGTCTCAACCTCAGTCTCTGTGTCTGTATGTCAGACACTTCCCTTCCCTTTGTGTGTAGTACAACACTGCATTTCCTTGGGATATCCTCCACAAGGCTCAAACAATGCCACATCTTGGTGGAAGCTGGGAGGTTTTTTTTTCATGACGCTTCTCTCTGCACAGTTTGCTCAGTAATCTTATTGGAATGACTTAGTGGATTCTTATGATGTTATTAAACTGGTATGATCACTATTTTAGCTTTATCTTGGACATAATTGACTCCCTAATAAGGACTTTGTTTAGATTTGAGTTCCTCTCTCCTTCTCTCCCTTACACGAGTACTCACACACGCCTGTGCATACATGCACTAAAATTATGGAGGAACCACCACTGACAGATATACAGCGCTGTGGTTTGCGATGTTGCCAATGATCTATTTTCCCCAGATTGCGGCTGATTAGCCACAGGACAACTAACTTTCTGAATGTTCCGCTGCATTTACTGAAATTAGTTATTTATGTATACACAGATATTCTTAGAGACTTGAAAGTTAGTTTGGGGCTGATGTAGAAGGATGATCCTATCTAAGATTTATATGGGCTTCCTCAGTATTCAGATCGTTTACTTAAGTAACAGCAGCCATACTACAGTGTGAAATACTCTATTAAAAGCAAACTTTAACACGTGGCTATGCTATGTTTACAGGTCTTGGGGAGTACTATTACATATGTGAAGAAAGTTGTACAAAGCCTTGTGTGTGAAATCTGATGAATGTCATTAATGTCATTTGAGTCCATGTCGGTTGGTCCGAAGACTACAAGTGTGAGGAAGAATAAAACGTGGAGTTAAAAATAAGTGAGTTAACCGGACCTCTTTAGCTCGCTCCTTATCTGTGCCTGAGGCTATATTAGCCACCGCTAGGCTAACACACCTGAATCTGTGACCAAACTGCTTCAGGTTATGAAAAGGAAACAGACTGCATAGTATAGTCTATACCTCTCAATTTTAATCCTTTCTGAAAATCGTTAGAGAGACGATGTTATAGGAGTGCAATGTTAAAGTACTCAGTAGAGTACTCTTTTAGTATTATAAGCTGAATACACTAAAAGTTCCAAAAGTAAATGTACTAGTGAGGCATAACAATACTGCCTATGATTGTTATATTACTGTTAGATTAATGTAGAATTTATTAAAGTAGAATTTCACAGTTGTAGCTGATGAAGTTGGAGTAGAACTGAATGTATATTCTGTTGGGTAGTTTAATATAATAATAATAATTTACAAAATTGTACTTATGAAGTACATAATTTGAGATGGAAAGTGTGTCTGTGGTAATATCACAGGACAAACATAAAAAGCAAAACATCATTTTGTATTTATATGAACAACTGTAGCAGTTTGTCTGGTAATCTTTACTGGTTTGGAGGACCTGAGTGAATATGTGTGTGTGTGTGTGTGTGTGTGTGTGTGTGTGTGTGTGTGTGTGTGTGTGCATGTGTGTGCATGTGTGTGTGTGTGTGTGTGTGTGTGTGTGTGTGTGTGTGTGTGTGTGTGTGTGTGTGCGTGCGTGTGTGTGTGTGTGTGTGTGTGTGTGTGTGTGTGTGTGTGTGTGCGTGTGGTTGAGGGGGTTACAGTCTATCCGTGTGTTCATCTTTCAGGAGTGGCTGCACTGGAATGTAACAGTCTCTGAAGTGCTCCAAACCATTCTCTGTGGATCAAAGTAAAACCACAGCTGGTGCTGGCTTAGAAACAGTCCAGCTGTGGAATAATGGGCTCTAGTTTTCAATAGTGCCATGGTGACATGAGTTTGAATCAAAGTCGGAAAAAGTAATTAACAACAAGACCAGGAGCTTCTTGTCAATATTCTTGCTAAGGATTCAATGCAAAACAGTGCTGCATCATTATTACTGTATAAGAAGCTGGTTTCAGTTCAAATTTGTGAAGTGAAGTGAAACTCAGTTGACCCGGACCCCCTGTGTGAGCGTATGTACAGTAAGTACACACAGTGTGTGACCCTTTACTCACGTCTGCAGCTTTCTTCTCAGACAGTTCCAGTTTCTCCTGAGCGTCTTTCAGGCCCTCAGAGAATTTGTCCAGTTCGTCCTCTGTCTGCTTCATCTTCTTCTGGAGGTCCACCAGCTCCTCCTCCAGCTACAACAGGAGAGACT